CAAATAAATAATACAATCTTTTTTAAAAAAAGAAAAAACCTAGTTTAACCCTTTGACTTTACAGCTCAGGAAAAAGTGAAAGAATGGTGACTTTACAGTGATACAGTCAAAGGTGGGGCCTGGCTCTTTGCCAGGCAGGCAAAGTGCTTTTCATGCAAGCCTAAGTACCTGATCTGATCCCCAGTACCCACATAAAAGCTGGGCACACAGCTGTGCTCCACCCAGACATGCGCATGCACACCTGCATACACATACATACATATACACAAACATCTTAAATGTACTCTAATTTAAAAAAAAAAAATCACCAGGGTGTGATGGGGTATGCACTCCTTTAATCCCAGCACCTATGAGGCCTCTGAGAGGCAGGTGAATTTCTGTGAGTTCTGGCAGCAAGGTCTATGAAGAGAGATCCAAAACTGCCAGGCTACAAAGAAAAACCTGGTATACAAACAAACAAACTCCATGCAGTCCCAATCTTAAGAAATTAAGAAAGAAATATATAATATAATGCTGTAGATAAAGATTATTACTATTACTTTTCACAAAGATGAACCGTGTCGGCGCCTTAGGCCCCAGTGGCCTCTCATCCTGATGATGTCTCGATCCACAATATGAAATATGGAGATATGTTTATTATCAATTGTCCAGTTAAAATTCAGCCTTTTAGATGTGAGTATAACTTTTGATGTGTGGCTAAAATTGGGCTCTACAATTCAAGCGCTAAGGTTCCAGCAGTACTGAGTTCTTTAGCTCAGTTACTGGACACTTCAGTTACAGGACAGCCCAGGTTTCACTTCTATGATCAAAAGTATGAACCACTACTTTGGAAGCCAGAAAAATATTCACTGTGCCTGATAACAGTAGGGATTCTTATTAAGTTCAGTGGCACATACCTGATGCTAGCACTTGGGATGTGGAAGCAGGAGGAACAGGGGTTCAGGGTCAGCCTCAACTCAATAGTGAGGATAAGCCAGCCTGGGATACATATGAAGGAAGGGAAAAAAAACACAGGGCCTCTTGAGAAGAGCTACTGGGGCTGGCCAGATAAAATTCGGTGTTGTTTTTTAAGTGAGGGAGAAAGCACATTTGTTGTAGAAAGCATATATTTAATGGTGGTTGCAGACTATGAGAAGAGCACATTACTCCCTAGAAGTGGCTTTGGGTACTTTTTCCGAGGTTCAAGGCCAAAGTAAATTATTTAACATTACTTTTTACTTGCCCTACAGATTAATCTGACTGCCCAGCCTACAGAATGTCTACAGAACAGGGGCCACCTTTAAAGCCACTCCACATCACCAATATGTTGAGCTTTCTTTCTTCTATGTAACCCAAGCTGGCCTTAAACTCACAACCCTGCTTCTGCCTCATGAGTTCCAGGATCATAGGCAGGCATCGCCACATCCACCTATCTATTTTTATTCTCTTTGTAGCTATTACCAAATGACATTCTTACTTATTTAGTTTACATTCTGTTTACAGAGTGGCTCCTTCTCTATCTGCCCCCACCACTGTATCTCCCATTCTTTAGAGAAGTATGTTATTGCAAATTACATGACCTAAGCAGTATCGTAATCAAGATTTGGGGGTGTAATATTCAAACAAAAAAATCATCTTCCTATCATGCTGATTCATAGTCAAGTGTCCAAAGCCTTACAACAGGGATACAACAGCTTACAACAGAGATAGTTTCCTATTGTAAGCTAGTATATTCTCATTCATTTTCGGGTTTTTTTTTTGTTGTTTTTGAAACAGGGTCTCCTATAGCTTCGCCCAGCCAAGAACACTATGTAGACCAGGCTAACCTCGAAGTCACAGAGACCTGCCTAGCTCTACAAGTGCTGGGACTGAAAGCATATACCGCCACACCCAGCCCTATGTTTCTGTTTGTTTTTCTTGACAGGGTTTCTCTGTGTAATCCTGGCTGTCTTAAAACTCAGTCTGTAGACCAGGCTGGCCTCAAACTCAGAGATCTCCCTGCCTCTTCCTTCTAGAGTGCTGGGATTAAAGGCTCTATGTTCTTAAATCCACATAAAGAGTTACCAGCTGAGGCCACAGTTATACCAACAATACTTTATGTAGCAAGCACATCTTCCTGCTGGTCCTGTGCATTACCTGTAAAGCAAGCATGGCCCTAATATAGGACACTGAATTTTATTTGTCATCAGGAGAATCTTTTCACCAAACTATGGGTTTCATGGTCACAAGATTCTGGAGAGGATTAGGGATGTAGCTCAGTGGCAGAGGTACCTGCCTCGCACAAATTAGGCTCTAGTCTCAATCTCCAGAAGACTTTCAAGGGCCCAAAACTAAAACTACCCCCAAGAGGACGTAATGCTGAAGGAATACAGGCGAAAGTGCTATTTTGCATAAATGTATGTCAACAGTCTCACTTGATTCCTGTACACCTCAAACCAGTACACAGACAAGAAAGACAACCTTTTAAGTTTTGTAATTTTTTCAGCTGATGTTTCCACCAGCTCAAGAGAGAATGGCAGAACTAGGTATGAAAGAGAAACTTCTTACAGATTAACTCTTAGGCATACCAGCAATGTTGGTCAAGCATGGGCAAACTGAAAAGTTGAAAAAATTTCCAAGGGTCACAAAAAACACTTCCCTGTATTTCACCCTAGTCCAGATTTCATATTCAGCATAGTTTTTGTTTGTGTGTGTAAGAGCCAATAGGGTGGAATGACAGGAGGAAGATAACAGATTTTTAGGGCCACACCTACCACTATCTGATGTGCACCTCAAGCAGTTCAGTTAGTTATACTCAAGCCCCACCTCTCACTAGCTCTATGTACTCTAAGGAAAAGGATGATAAACAACTCTCAGGTCTACTGGGTAGACATTAAAACAGTTTAAAATTCCTCGACCAGAGTTTAAAGATTTTGTTTTTAATGCAATCCTTTCCTATCTCTAAGAGAAAGTAAAACTTAATAAAATCCTAGTTCTAACTTCTTGGTCAAAGTAGATGTGACCATTCCACTATATACCACTTCATTTTCATAGTCAAGAAAAAGTATTCTGCTAAAATATTTTAACACCAAAAAGGAAAATCTCCTAATATCTTACCAGTGTAAGGTCTTCTCTTTCACACACACAGACACAAACACAGACGCACGCATGCACGCACAAATCACTTCGCTAAAGTTTTATAGTAATTTTTCTTCATAAGCTATAAAACAGGCATAATTAATATACACCTGAGTGTGATAGGTGCTTCCAATCTGAGTAGCTAGAACTTTTACAAATCATACAGTGAACACAAGGTCATAATTCAAACCCTAACAGAATTGTTTATTTTCAAAATTTTCAAATAATTCATCTGTGTAGTCATATAAGTATCTCCTTATGTGGTAGGCTTGATGTTAATATACAAGAAAGAAAACCTCTATTAACACATATACAAGATTGACATTATGAGCTCATTCCCCCATCTATGCTAAGACCATTTTTAAACTGTGCAGACAAAATAAAAAGGTGATCTAAGAAAGACACAGTTAACTGGGTGTGGTGCATACCTATATAATCCCAGGTGAACATAATCTGGAAGCAGAAGGATCACTGAAAGTTCAGTCAGGACTAAGTTGCAAAAATAAATTAATTAATTAAATTTTAAGAGGCACAGGACACCATATTAAGTATATGTCTTTCAAATATTACAATACTAAAAGTCTAGGACAAACAAGAGCAAAATCTGAGGCTGGTCTAGAAGAATTTACCATGCAAAAAACATACGGCCCACAGCCCTCACACACAGAAAAATCAGTGAAACTAACTGGGGTTCTTCAGCATCTGCCAGGAAGCATCCCGCTACCATTAAGGAATAAACAGGGGATGCAAATAAATAACTACTGCATCCTGAGGTGAATGTTAATTCTACTAGCCTACTACCTCACATCATGAAATTCTTCTTCGTCCCTACTGAAGACAGAAATTGAAATTTCAAGTTAGCCAAGTGCCTAAAAGAACTTGAAATAGCATCCCTTCCCAACATGAAAAGGACTTCCAATAAAAACAGACCCAATCATCTTATTCACATTCCCCAAGTAGCCAGTGCCCAAAATCTTTTTTCTGAAAACTCTTCCACAAAGAAAGAATATAATAATATTCACTCAACATAGGCTAGACTGCTATTAATAGTGTGCATTTTCTCTTCAGAAGCACATTAAAAGCACTGGAGATTTGAGGGAAAACTACCCGGACAAGTTACCTTTCCAATCCAGTAAGTCACATCTTGCATTTTTTTTTTTCCCCAGAAAAGTTGCTATGGTCAAAATGAGAGCACGAAACGGGAGTGGGAGAACCACCAAGCCAAACTCAAACAAACCTTCGAAATGTCTGGCCTGCAAGGAAGTCTTTAACAGAAGTGTAATTGAGGCACTGAGAGGGTAGGGAACTTGCCCAGGGCTACAGTTTATTTGGTGGCCAAGCTGGAAGTGCATTCCTGGCCTCCTAGACTGGAATTTAGTAGTTTCCCCAGCCGCCAAGGCTACTCCGTGTAAAACGTTTTATAAAACTCTTCACTAAGGCTGTTAGCATAAGGGTCCAATTATCATTCAAAGATCAGCCTGTTAGATAATAGCTCAAAAATTCCATCCATTTTACAGCCTTTACCAGAGTCACCTAATCTCTGGGGGAACGCAGAGGGGGAGGAATCCCTAATTCTGATTCGACCCCAAAGGGGTCTGATACAGACAGGCAAGCAACGCTGGTGCCCGCACCCACAAACCGTGGAGAAAGCCTCAGCAACACTCGCCCCAAGACTAAATTCCACTCCCATCTCGGCGCACTCAAGACATTCCACCTCCCGCCGCAGGCCGGATAGCCAACTCTCCTCCAAAGCACCACTTTCCCGAGAAAATCGGGAAGGGAGACCCAGAGTCGCCTTCCCACACCCCTAGCCCCCGATAAGGAGCTCCTCCGCGGACTCGGCGGGACCCCACGCCCTGCCTTGCTCACCGCGGCGGGGGAGGGGAGAGCGCCCCACACAGGAAGTGCATCCTGCGCCCCGAGCTCGCGCCCCGCCGCCGGGTACCTGCCCCGGGCCCCGGGCCGCCTGCAGGCGACAGGCAGCCGCATCCACATGGCCTCAGGTGTTGGTGCGGCCCCTCCCCGGCCCGCTCCAAGCCCGGCCCTCCACCGCGCCCGCCTCGCCTCCAGCCCGCAGCCAAGAGGCCAGCAACGCCGGTCCCCGCGGGGGCTGCCAGGAGCGCGGACCCCTCTGCACCCCAGGCCGCGACGAGCAGGTATCTCCGCCCGCAGCCCGAGCACTCCGGGCCCCCTTCCAGCCTGGACGCCGGGCCGGGCCGTTGACCCCCCCCC